CGAGGCTCTGCGCAGCTGGTGATGACTCGAGCCCATCCCAGATAGTCTCCGGAGTCATCGCCGGCCACACAGAGCCTCGGCAAGGCTCCACGCCATAGAAAACATAGGCGCGTGCGCACTGCCCCACACACAATTATAGCCTCGGAATCTTTATTAACGGCGGGAACTTGTCACTTGCCTGGGCTTCTGCAGAAGTTTTCCTCCGAAGCCCTCCGAGGGAGGAAGGGCCAGTTGGGAGAGGGGATTTGGTTGTGCTCTGGACTGTAATTGCACGCGCCTATGTTTTCTATGGTGTGGAGCCGCAGCCAGAAGATGAACATGAGGGGAACCAGCGGGGCCATGTCCTTCTGAAGAGGACCTGTCCCTGAAGAGGGGAGATGTGGTGGCATCGGTCTTAGGGTGTTCTGCGGAGCCCCCCAGGGAAAAATGCCACTGCCAGGTACTTTTAACCATATATTTTGGTCCTATGACTGCAGAATGCTGCAAAAAATCATAAATGCAGGCCAGTTGTTGAATGTTTCAAATGTGATTGGAACACTCAACAAGGTGACCACAGTATGTGTATCTATATGTGTGTGTGTGAGAGTGAGGGAGACAGAAAGTGAGTGAGTGTGAGAGAGAGAGAGAAAGGGGGAGGGTGGGAGCCTATCAAGCAGCACTGTTTTCATTCTAGGCAGAAAATGTTTGTGTATGCAAAAGGCTTTTTATAGACCTACAAATTGGTAGTAGAAAGGTAATTATAGGTTTTGTTTTTGTGGTTATTACCAGAATTAAAAGAATTAGTCTCTTGTAGCCTAATAAATCTATGTCTCTCAAATCTACGTCATATGGAACTTGAGTCTAATTAATGTAAAAATGGATTTTTCTAATATCTTCTGAAACAATGTCTGCTTTACCCATATTTTTCTCTTAAATGTTATTTAATTTTTTTAACAAAGAAGATAAGTTTGTATGTTAAACTTTTGAGCATCTGTATAGTGCTAATAAAACTATTTTATTTCTATTGGGATTTTTAATATTATATCATTTTTAATCATGTCCAGTTGTAGTTCGAATATCAACATACTGAGGTTGATGTATAAATAACCATACAATAATATATAAATTTATATTATTCTTTCATAATTACTAACTATGCTAATTACAAAGATTTATAGTATTCAGCCTGATAATCTCAATTCATTTTATCTTATGGTCTCAAATACTGAAAAACAAGGGGCTTGAAATAAAATTCTTAATAAATAAATGAATAATATGGCCATTAAATTATACATACAATTAATTTGATTTATATTATAGCTTCTTTTTATTCTTGTAGATGTCAGAAGACCTGGCAAAACAATTAGCTAGTTATAAAGCTCAGTTACAGCAAGTTGAAGCTGCTTTGACAGGAAATGGAGATAATGAAGATTTATTAAAACTCAAGAAAGATTTGCAGGTGAGAACTGAGAAGAAATAAATTTGCTAATTGAATGTTTCCTATATAGAGAAGAGCTCTGTAGAATTGCATTTGACTGCTTCTGAAGACCATCTGCTAAGAGGCTAGTGGGTATCTTTGTGAAGTTGGTTAGCCACTAAGAGAGACTGCTGGAGTAGATGGTCCAGAGGTCCGAACTAACAAGGAACTACTTATGTTTTTATGTTTGTTATAGTAGTATCTTAATCAGAATGTGTTCCAAAATAAGATTAAGGCTTAATTAAGTATAAAGTAGTAAATTATTATGTAGATATTAATAACATTTTCTTATGGATTAAATTAGCTTCAGAAGAACTAGGGCTATCATCTGCTTAAAGGGATTGTAGTCTACAATCGCATAAGTATGATTATAAAAATATTTTGAAGTCTAGTTTAGTATTATACATTATACAAAGTATTTTAATTTTCTTCTAAGAGCATATTGAAAACACATTTTAAGCTAGTATTTGCCATCTTTCTGACCTATTTTTAATGAGTCATTTTTCACAGTATCTTTCTTGAGTGTTAAAATATCCCCAGTTATACTATCCTACAGCAGTCAGTTAAGCAGGGATTGTTTAATGTGTGATGTGCTTACTAAAGAAAATATATTCAAATGGTAAGATTCTGAAACCACATAGGCTTTGTGAGTTCTTTACATTTTTTTAAATGCTGTGTAGCTTGTAATTCAAAGGTGACTAACATTTGAATTAATTGTAGTTCAACTTCAAGGTGCATAAAAACACAGCAGGGTGAGAGTCATAATAGAGTACATCTTTTAAAAAATGAGTAATAGTGAAGACAAAATTATTTAAATATTTTTGTATGAAAATATTCTGTTTATATCCATTTTTGCATCTATTTCTTTTTTTCCCTTTCATTGGGTCAGATTTGATCAATATTTCAAAAACAGTTATTTGACATTTTTTTCATGCACTATAGCCTTTTCCAAACTGTTATCTTTTAGGATCCCTGCTGAAATAAAATTAATTATTTCATCGGAGTTAAAGCTTCGCAAAATATGCCACTTTTAATCATTACAATTTTACCCATACATCAAATAAAACAACTTCAATAGAAACCATTGCATTGGAAATAAGCAAAAGGACCCAATAAAATTTAAAGCCTTGTTTTTGATGAGAAGGGTGACTTGTTTGTTTCATAATTGGTAAAAGCTGGGTTTCATTTTGAAAGCAGTCAGTCTAACTCAAAAATTGGGGAAAAGAAGAAAGAAGTAGGTTTGTATTGCCTTAAATCAATTCTGTTACTGTGTTGTTAATGTTTCAATTTTCATAAAGCTGGCAAGTTACAAGTTTCTTTTATATTCTCTCCCAATCCAGTGACATAAATCCAATATTGACATTTCCCTTTTAGATTTATTCTTGTAAATCTCTCTCCTACTCCTGTAATAGGTCAGAGTTTTGCATAGAAGCCTTGGATCTTCACACCTGGTCAATCCTTCTTTTAAAAAAAATTGCAGTGGGTCATTCACAGCCTCTGGGTTGCACCCCACACTTTAAAAAACACTGGTGTAGATAGGTAGCTCCAACATAACTGGACCCAACTAGTTGTGGAAAGATTATGTTGTGTACCTTCAGTAGGTAATGATAAGCTGTTAAAAATGCAGGTACAATAGTTTTTTTTACAGATGTTCTATTTAAAACTGTTTTAAAACTTTTTTTACGTTACACACACACACACACACACACACCATATTTTTTCCTCTATAAGATGCACTCCCCCCGCCCCCAAAAGTGGACTGTGCTGGTCCTTTGGTGAATAGCAGCCGGGCCACAGTGGTGGACTCCTTTTACAGTGCTGAACCCTGCTTCTTCTGTCTTTGTCATTGCCGTCTCTTCTGTCTCCTTTCCACAGTGCAAGAGTCAAGAGCTGGCTCATGAGAGGACACCTATCTGTGGTCCTTTCAGGCTCTGCCTGATAATTTTTTTCTTGTTTTCCTCCTCTAAACCTAGGTGCATCTTATAGTCTTATAGTGTGAAAAATATGGTGTGTGTAACGTACATTTAAAAGTTTGGTTATTCCTGCTTTAGCACAGAATCTGGAAATCCCAGTTCTACTACCTATTTTATTGAAGTATGTTTTGTATATATAAAAATTTCTATTTTGCTGCTTCCTAGAATACATAGATATTTTGTGCCTATTTATTTTTAATAAAAAATGTAAAAAAAATCAACCCAGAATACTTTAATTATTTCTTATTCTTTCTGCTTCTGTTATATTAGCTGAAATATAATGATATGAATACAGAATGAGATATTTATACAAAATTGTTTATATATGTTATGAACATAGTGTGATATTCAAATAAAGAAATATTCAAAAAAGGCTAGGCTATGTAATATTTCAGATTCAATTCTAAAGTTACTTAAAAGTCTACGGAGACATGAATGCCTTTCATTAAAACAAGCAAGTCTTTTCCTAGAAATAGGAAAAGGCCATTGTTACATGAGTCATGCAGTAGTTGGCAGGTTGACCATATTTTCCTAGTAAAGAGATGCTGCTACTTTAAGGGCTGCAGATGAGGGCTGTATTTGCTATCTCATTGACTTTGGGGCACCTTTTAGGGATTGACTTTGAAATATTGTACTGTAAATAAAGTTTTGTGTGCTTTCAGACTGTTATTATATACACTGCAGTTGGTAAATACTTTTCAAAAGTTGTGGGGATAAGGGAGAGATACTTAATGTTTAAATTGTTGCTTTTTTCTGCCATCAGGAAGTTATAGAACTAACTAAAGACCTCCTTTCAACACAACCTTCAGAAACTCTTGCAAATTCTGATAGTTCTGCGTCTGCCCTCCCCAGTCACACTTGGAAAGTTGGAGACAGATGTATGGCAATATGGAGTGAAGATGGACAGTAAGTGTAGAAAACAAGTTCTATACAGTTACATGAAATGATACAATTTCATGGTAAGATACTTCCCTTTGGTTTATATTCTCCCCGTCTCCATCATGGTAAACACCAGCTTGGCAAAAATAGTAATGTACAGTAGTCAGTCCTGGTGTCTTTTAAATTATAATTTGTCATCAGCCAGTATAATGACCAAAGTATGGAGAGTACCAAGGTGAGGATGGCTAGTTAAAGGGAGTGCAGGTATAAATATGTATCTTAAACAAATAGATTATTTGGGAATATATAGTGTTAGTAAACTCCAATTTTTCTTAGTCTATAGTGTATATTAGTACAATTTCTAATAAAATTTGGAATACAGTAATGGAGTGATAACACTTTTCATTACTAATTGAGAGGAAAATGCTAAAAATATGATTTGGAGAAAAAAAATGGAGCCATGGGAAAAGTGTAGTGCATATCAGAAGGGAAGAAGCCAAAGAAGAATCTGCTGCCCATGCCAATTTTTCTTTATTTATAACAAACACATTTTTTTAAAAAATGAGAGGATTGGGCTCAGAAATGGCAGATTACTTTGTTTAATGTTATGTTCATACAGAAGAATGGTACTTAGAAAAATGTCTTCTCTCTGTGTTGCTTTGGCGCCATTATAAGGCTCAGTCCTCCTGCGATTCCCAGGTAGTCCTAAACTTACAACCATTCATTTATGACCATTCAGAATTACAACGGCATAGAAAATAGTGACTTACAACCAGTTCTCATGCTTACAACTGATGTAGACATGTGATCAAAATTTGGGTGCTTGGCAACTGGCATGCTACAGTTGCAGTAACCCAAAATCATGCAACAGTTGCAGAATCCTGGAACCATGTGATCCCCACCTGCACCCTTCCCATTGACAAAGTCAATGACAGTAGTCTGATTCACTTAACAACCACATGATTCAGTTAACAACTACAGTGATTTGCTTAACATGTCAAAAAGTTGTAAAATTGGGTATGACTCACTTAACAATTGTCATGCTTAACAAGGGAAATTCTGGTCTCAATTGTGGTCATAGGTTGAGGACTACCTACATTGTAGGGAGCAGACATAGTTGAAGGCATCAAACCAAATCTCTGACAGGAGTATTTCTTTCTCCAAAATAATTAGGGAAGGGAATATTGCAGCTGGAGAGTATTCTTTTTACCCTAAAAGACTCACTTTATGATGGAGTGAGCAAAAGACAAGCTTTGATTCCTGAGCTTAATGCTAATATTAATGAGCTGCCTTTTTAGTGGCATATTGAATTCTTCCATCTGAAGGAAATTACTGTTTTATTCATTTTATTGATTAAATATAATATGCCGCTCATCTTGCATCCTTTTCTCTCAACAATAACAATTCTGTTATGTGTTGGTTTCTATTTTTGTTACTTAGATGACATAGTTTCAATGTCCAGTTTCCTTATGGCCACTGAAGTATAGATCGCATTTGCAGTTTCCAAAAGCTGCAGAGAGTAGAGTGTCAAGGGTCACTCTAGTATGTTGAACTAAACTGTTTAGACTTTTGAGATGGCTTAGTCGAATAGGAAAGAAAAATTGGTGCATTGCAGAGTTCAAAATGAGAATGACTTGATTTTAGGAGCAGCCAAGATTTTTCTGGGGCTGAAATGGGTACCTGAATTTTTTTGAAGCTAAAGAGTCCATTTTGACCAGTAGAATTTCTTCAACCTTAACTAAGATCAGATAGACTGTACAATTCCTCGGGTATTCCTGAGAGCAAAAAAAATGGTATTACAGCCAGTTAATATAGTAGCTAAGGCATCAGACTAGAAACCAGGAGACTGAATTATAGTCCTGCCTTAGGCATGAGAACTGTCTGATTTTGGACCAGTCTCAGTCCAATTCACCTCACAGAGTTTTCATGAGGAAAAAGATAGGAAGGAGGAATATTAGTATGTTTGCCATCTTGAGTTGTTTATAAAATAATAAAATAGAATATAAATAAATTAGGGAAGCAGTATGCAGTTTGGAGTGTGAATTGTACACTTACAAAATACATATATACATATTTTAACGTATGATTATATTAGATTATTTTGAGGTGATGTGACAGAAAAAAATTGGATAACCACCTCATGATTTTCTTAAGTATGTTCTTTGAATATCAGTAATTCTGTCTTTATTTCTAGGAAGAGATATATCATTGTGATAATTGTTAATTTAGAGTTTAATAGTGGAATCCTATACATAATTGCTCAGAAATAAATCCTATTTTATTCTATAAGGGTTAGTATCAACATGAGTTAACTCATGCTGAGAAAGTAAATGTAAATGAATGCCATAAAAGAATAACTCTCAGAATTACATTGTCTATTTCAATCCACTGTCAATCAGAAATATATTGAAATGTAATCATTGCATGTTTAAATTTTGCAGGGTTGAGTCTTAAACCTTTACTCACATGCTTACAGCCATGATATCTTTACAGGTGTTATGAAGCTGAAATTGAAGAGATAGATGAAGAGAATGGTACAGCTGCAATCACGTTCTCAGGATATGGTAATGCTGAAGTCACACCTCTACTCAATTTGAAGCCTGTGGAAGAGGGAAGAAAAACAAAGGAAGATAGTGGCAACAAGCCTATGTCCAAGTAAGTGATGGAAATTGTTTCTATCGTTTATTGCATGGTATCAATCTAAAAAAAGTGCTGCAATTGAAATGTTGATGGGTATTCTCATTCAGAGATTACATATAGATAAGGTTGAAGATAAATATTTTTTTAAAAGAAAAAAGAAATCCAAACCCATGTAGGTGTTCAGGCTATATATGTAGCAGACTGTACTAAGCAGGATAATTTGGGCTGAATTTGGCTGCATGAGACAAAGTAAAATCCCCCTGAATCACCTTCAAATGGGCAGGGGAAGTTTGTGAATTGTTTGCAGAACTGTAAAAGGGCTGCATTGCTTTGTAATATACAAAGACAACTTGGGGGGGGGGGGTGTGAAGTGGAAATGATAGATGTATCATCTAATCATAGGATTTTGTTCCTCTGCTGCAGCTCATTTCCACACAGAAACTATGACACTATGGAGGCCTGCAGTGTGTTGTAACTTACATCATTATGTAACATCGGTGCTGTTCTTTTTGCCATCTTCTCTATTCTGCCATAGTGCCAGGTAGACATTGAGACCTGTTGAAGGGCATTCCGTTTGGAAGTTGGTTGCAGCCACCCAAGCAAACTTGTGAAAACTATGCAGTTGTTGCCCACTGCAGTGCATTAATCTTCTCAAAGAGCCATGAGGTTTCCCCTTAGAAAACTCCACTCATAGATCACCGGTTCCTGATATAGGAATCCATTGGCTTTGTCAAGATATGAATGTGAATTGGGAAGAGAAAATCCTTATTGTCACCATCATCACTTCCACCACCTTCCTTTTGTAAAAATTTCTTTTTTATTAAATACCTTACAATAAATAGAAGTTGGCAAAATGTAACCAATAGTAAGCTGTTATAATTATAATCACTTTTCTAAAATAAATCAGCATTTAAGGAATCTACCTGTAACTTTTCTACATGTTTCTTTAAAATTAGTTTTCATTATTTCAGTAAACATGTAACAGTGAACAAATATCATGCCATTCTGTAGAGGTGTGAAGACGTTTCAGCCATTTGTGATTTTTTTTCCTGTTAATCAGTGGACGGCATACGTTTTATATTATTTTTTTGCAAAATCAAAACAGGCATCTACTACTTTGGAACTGTGAATGTGCAGCACCTAAATACAGGATTAGGTTGACTGTTCAAATCAGCCTTCTGTATTTTGATCCTGCCTGTGGATAATGGAATTTATTCCAGGTTCAGAAAGATTGGACTATAACAAATGCTATTAACTGTAAGGCTTGTGTTTGCTCTATGGCTGAAGTTTTTTAATAAGAATTTGATGAATAAAAGAAATTCTGTAACACTCAATCAGGATTAAATATTTTCTATACAAAAGTGCTTTAGGCTTGTGAAAAAATGTACTTACCTTGGAACAAATTTTGAATTAGTTCTAGAGTTGTTCCATTTGCAAGAAGTAACTGACTAGTTTCAGCTGACTTCTAAAAGAGCTTTGTTAGTAGTGTATGAAAATAGGATTGCTGTGCTTTATTGAAACTTGCAATGCACAGATTGCTTTACAGAAGGAATGACAGCACTCTCTGCAGCTGGAGAATGAAATAGGCGTGGACAGCTGAAGCCCATTGTACTGAGTTTGTCTTTACATTCACCTAGTCCAAGGTGAGACTCTCTTAATGAGTGTATCCTTGCTTTTGTCTACGTGTCTGAGAATAAAAGCGAATTTATAACAAATTAGGTTAGGTAACTAGGTTATGAACTACCTAAGTAACCTTCAGTGATATTTTACTTTTTAGAAAAGAAATGATTGCTCAGCAACGAGAATATAAAAAGAAGAAAGCTTTGAAAAAGGCCCAGCGTATCAAAGAACTAGAACAAGAACGAGAAGATCAGAAAGTCAAATGGCAGCAGTTCAACAATAGAGCATATTCAAAAAACAAAAAAGGCCAGGTGTGTATCTTAGTGCATTGGAGGTATAGAGTTATGACAACCAGGTTGCTGTGATAGTCACTAGGCTGGAAACCGGATCGTGACTCTTAGTTTTGTCTTAGGCACAAAGAGCCAACTAGGTGACTTTGAACCAGCCATTTTCTTTCAGCCTTATAAGAAAGAAATGACAAATCATTTCCTGAAAATCTTTCCAAAAGAAATATAGAGATTTCGTAATAGCATTTTTTTCATACTTTTACCAGTTTGGGGTAATTTACAATTTTGCAAGATAAATTAATAGAAAAGTTAAAGATGCAGGGTTATAAAGCTTTAGGGTAAAGAGGTAAGCAAAATATTTTGAATTCCAGTAGTTCTGAGACTAAAATAGATGTAGTGATCACCCCAGAGTTATTTGGTATTTAGAATAGCTCTGTAGTTTGAATTTGAACCTGTTATTTTGAGTTCAGAATATTTCCAAAATAATCAAAGGAACCTGTTCACAGAACATTTTTAATTTGAAATGTTTTGCATGACAAGGCTTTTATTCTGTTATAATCTATAATGATGTTTTGTGTATCTCAGATTGTTAAGTTTTCTGTGGCCCAGTGAAATATAATTTAATCAATCTCTTAGCATAAAAATAAGCCAAATAGATAAATGTATATGATTCAGGAATGCTTAATCACTGATCAACTGCATTATTAATATAGTAATTTATTATTTGTTGCATTTTGAAAGTAATTAAAGATGTATTTTTAATTTGTTCCATAGGTAAAGCGGAGCATCTTTGCTTCTCCTGAGAGCGTTACAGGAAAGGTTGGCGTTGGGACTTGTGGAATTGCAGACAAACCTATGACACAGTATCAAGATACATCAAAGTATAATGTCAGACATTTGATGCCCCAGTAATTAAGGGGGAAATTGTCATATTTGCAGGGCTTTACATTTATCTTTTTATTGTTATATTTTTCTAACAGTAAACAATTGGTGCATAATGAAAATGGTGTTGCCATCACTTGGCTTTTGCTGGTACAAGCCTTAATTATTACAAATATTCAGATGACCCCGTTATTTTGTATAGATATGCACAAGTTAGTGTATTGAAGGAATGCCCTTTGCAATATTTTGAAGCCTTCAATCTGATACAGTGTCTTTGCTCAGGCACATACTAAGAATACTGCCAAGCAAACAAGGATATAATAAAGTAATTATCCCATAGTTTTGTTCTGTTTGATGTCTAACAGTCCTGTTACCTTCCTACAAGAGCACTATTGTTTTTTTATTTGTTCAGAAATAATTCAGTTGAAATATTTATTGGGATTTTACTCTGATTAAATATAGACTGGAATGTGCTGATAGGAAGGGTTTTTCATCTGAAAAAGCAGAACCCTATACCTACAATCTTGGAAAAGATAGCTAAACAGAATTTATGCTTAACAATGACTGTTTCCTCAAGACGAGGGTTTGGTCCCAAATCACACATCCTTTCATTAGTGCTGTGTGATTATCCAATGGTTTAACTAGTATCAAAATGTATCATAACTTCCTAAGTCAGTCCAAACCTGTTACAAGAACTTGGAGATTCCCCCACCCTAACTACATATGAGACCTTAATATTGAGTATGGAGTAGCTTAGAAACCTGCCAAACATTTTGTTTTAGTTAAAAAAACTCATGAGTGACAGTGAGTTTTCTTTTCTCTCTGTGGAGTGAAAAAATATTAGGAACTGTATTGCGTTTCTAAAGACCAAATTTTGTAAGTCTGGAAAAAAGCAGGATATCTCTTTAGAAAGAAACATGCTTAGCACTGGCAAACTGGAAAGTGTATTTATAGAAGTTAAAGTTAATAAGGATTTAGTTATGAGCTGCATACGTTTTCCTCAATAATTTTCAAGGATGGACTAGCACTTTAAAACTGGGAGATATGAATTATACATTTGTAAGTTATTTCCATTGAAAATTTAATGGCTTATTGTGATGCAGTAATTTAACATACTGCGAAGAGTCATTTACTGCTTACTCAGTTTTACAGTTGATCCAGCTATACTTAAGTATAGTTGGTGTTGTCTCCCAATAATGCCACAATCCAACTGTATTTAGCTGAACATTCTTGATTTTATCTGGAAAACCATGTGTAAATGTTCAAGCATTCTTGTCTCTTCTGGATGAAATTGCTTCCCTTCGCTGTGTGTAATGCTTAGGGTAGTAATGACATCTTTTAATCTTGCAAATGTGTTTGAGAGAAAAAGTTAATGTATAGCCCTGTATACAGTGTAGATAAATATTTTTGTAAAATATGGTGTTAATGAACAAGAGTGAATTTAGTTATTACTCTTATTAAATAATTCAGAAGTAATTCTTGCTCATTAATCTGGGCGTCATTGCTTATGTCTGTTACATTGTAGTTCCCTTTTGTAATTTGTTTTCTGAATTAAAATCAGGTAACATCAATACTTGTTGATACATTCATTAGTGAAAGTCTGCCAGTTTATCTGCATTTAAATCCCCAACTAATAGATTATAATCCACCTATAGATTCTTCCCCTCAACAAAAAGGTAAAATAATTTTTATTACTGTGTTGATCTGAGTTTTGTATGTAACTTTTATTAAAATAAAGTGTTTAAAATCTGTTTGCTATGTCCATAAAACCTTGTTAAAATGATTTAATAGAAGTTGATTTAGCATCACTAAAGTGGAGGAGAAATGGGTAATCCTGGTAGATTTTACCATTTATGAGGAAAATGCTCTTATAAAGGTATCATATGTCCTGGACCTGACTATATTTTGAGCCTTTGGGTACTAACTGAACAACATAGTTGCAAACTTTGTGTTGTAAAATATTTTATGGATAAATAAGTACCTTCTTTATTTGGGAAAAGTAGTTTTTGAAATACATAGCGCTAGAATTGTTGGAAAAGAACAAACACAGCTGAATTCACGAAAGGAGCTTAGGTTCTGAGTCTAACTAATTCTTGTATCCAGAATAGGTCTTGAGCTATTGCTTCTTTACAAAATTTTGTTATATCTTAGAAACCACTTCAAAAGCAACTTGTGATTCATCATGAAATTTGCTCCTCTGAGAATGCTGGGGGAAAACTAACTCGCAATTAATCTGTTTTATAGATGTTGAGCATGCAACCCAACATAGGCAGGAGCGTCCAGCACAGATGCTGCTGCACCCATGTGAAATGCTACGTTGTAATTCTCAAAGCATTGAGCACTGGATTTAAGCACTGTTGTGTTTTGGGAACTTCTATTAATATAGGTGATACCAGAAAGTAGAAAAGTAACAAACGTGTTTGAAATAAAAGGTCATAAAATTTATTTATATATTTAAACAAGTTAATATAGATGGCCACAAACAAAAGAATTGTGTTTACAATGATGAAAATGCAACAGTGTTGTCAGCACCGTCCCTGCACCATTACAGATAGAGAGATGCAATCAGCATTTCGGTATTGTTTTATAGACTAGCACTGGTCAATCTGCTTATTAAAGATTTATTGGGATGTTTTGTAGCTGTCAAATCCTCAAAAAATACCAGTTGGCTATAGAGTCAATATATAACTGCCATAGTTCAGGCAAGTTCAAGGGAATTGAAACAATGATAGAAGACACGTTAAAAATGAGCTTGCACTGAAGTTCATACGTGGTCAAAATGTGCAGTATTTGTTCAGGATACATTTGTTTAAGATTGGAATTGCATTCTTAGACTAGTGCAATATCATAGTACTATGTAGAATCACAGCACCATGTGATTTACCCCTTTAAAGATTGCAAAAGAATTCCATAATGTATTAAAAACTGGAAAAAAAATCCTGAATTTTTTTTTCCTTCTTCTGATAAATATCTGAATAACATAGTGGCACAACCCTAATTTTTGCATTAGATACTTGTTAACATAATATAAGATAAAATGAATGCATTAGATTTAAGGTCCTGCATTGTATTTACTTTCCGTCATAATAACTGCAAATTATTGCTAGTAAGATTATATTGCAATTTCATTAGCTTGTTTAAGTAGCAAAACAGTAAAAGTTTTTTTTTGCTAGGAATCAAGAAAACATCTTGGAGTTTTCCAACTAAGATGTCATACTAGAATTATATCCTTTGCTATGAGTAGGTTTCAACATAACAAGCAGGGTTTATGTACTTCAGTTTAGCAAGAATAATCTTTACAAATCCAGGATCTACATGGTGTGGTAGTTGAGGAAAAAAATACATGGAAAGTAATTTCTAGCAACTCTGATTTTAAAAAGCAAGTTAATGGAAGTAACATGATACTCAGTAAATGCAGAATTGTGCACCAGCTAATTTCAATAAAAGCACTGTCAGCACTGCCAGAGTAATTTTGTCTGTAAAAATATCTTGCTATTTATTGGAATTACATATTTATTGTAATAGATAAACATTTTATACCTACATGATGCTACCTTGCATCCACTTGAAATGTACTCCAAATGGAGCTTAATAAGCAATTTAAAACAGCCAGCAAGCTACCATGGAGAAAAAAACCCTGCATATATTGACCTCATTATGACCAATTGCAGCTTTGTATACTCTCCCTTAATAAATTAGCTGAAATTGGTAGTGTTAGATACAGTAAATTGGCTTTCAACTTCCTGACTTGTATGTTACGTGTATTTAAGTACTATTAGCAAGTAGCCTAATGAAGCTCCTTCATGGGGGTTTAATAATTTTATTATTCTATATTTTTAGGGATCATTGTATTTGGTTTCTTAAGTTTCTTTTGCTGCTAGAAATAAAATATAAATACAGTGGTTAGAATTAAGGATATTCAAGTTATTTGTAGTCATAGGGTCTTACCCTGTTGGTCTTTATTTGCCTTATTTCAACTTTTATAGATACCCTAAATAAAAGTACAGATTGAGTGAACTGATCAATGCATGCCATAGACTCAGAGTAATAACCACTAGAAAATCCTGCCATTTCTTCAGACCATTTCTGCCACACTATTGTTAATAAATTCAACCTTTGGCATAACACAGGATAGTAATTATTTTTGAAAGCTTCTAAAGGCAGAACCATTGACTCATATCTCAAAAAAGTGATCAGTGTATTTTAGTTACTTTGTCCAGTGCTAATATGAACTGGCCCTGAGATAGAACATTTCAAAACAAAACCCTGTATTGTACGTGTTATTGCAGGATGGGGAAGAATACCAAAGATATAGCAATATCTGAAGCACAGGGAAGCATTTACATAATAAAGTGAGGTACTTCCAACTGATATTATCTAGAACTACTTTAGTATACTGTATTTGTGTCTTAGCTATTTTTGAAAAGATGTGCACGACGTTTAAGGGATCTTTAGAATTCATTAAAAAAAACTTTTTAGCACGTTAACCATTCTTTATATGTTTTCTGATTTAACCAGCTAAATAATAAAATCACGAGTCTTCTTAGTAAAATAGCTGCAAATAATAATAATAATAATGCTGGTAATGCTGACATTTTTTTAAGCATTCCTTTTTTTGTAAGGAAATGTCAGCCAGTGTACACAAAGAAATAAACTCTTCCAAATTATGTTTTGGATACCGGTAGATATTATATTTACCAATTGATGTAGGACAGGTACTCTTCAATTTACGACCACAATTGGGAACAGTACTTTCATCACTAAGCAATAAATGAGTTGCATCTGATTTTAAACCTTTTCGCTGTGGTAATTAAGCAAATATATCTTCCCTCTTGACTTTGCTTGCTGGAACCCCCTGGGAACGTTGCAGAGGGTAACCATATGACCCCAGAATGTTATAGTTGTCCTATATAAGTGCTGGTTGTCAAGTGTCCAAATTTTGCTTGCATGGCTGTATGACCACTGCAATGGTAAGTGTGAGAACCAGGTGTAAGTCACTTTTCAACGCCAGCGTGACTTTGCTTACTCTTAAATTAATAGTCATAAGGTTAAAAACTACCTGTTCAGAGTGAGATAAACAGAATGGATATGTCTGAATGAAAAGTGATTTAACTATTGCTTCCAGTTAAGCCTGTTTAATAAATTCCTAAAAAGTATTGACCTGATTAACATATACTAAACGTTTCTGCTTTCTGAAGCCTACTTATTTGTCTTTGCTTCTTTTATTTCATATAAGTATGCAACCCTATATCCACTTTTTGGTATATGCCCAACTGAATTGGTATATGGATATAAGTGAATTCCCCTACTCTTCTGTACAAGGAGACTAAAGAGAAAGAAAATAAAAGTAGCCAAGACAGGTTTCAGGCTTCTAAAAATCAGAACTTTTAAATAATTAAACTTGTTGGTAAAACAAGTTACAATATCCTAGAATTTAGCAAAGTTAAAAAGTTAAATTTAGCCCGCTAGTTTGATCCAAGAAACCATGAAGGAAAAAGTACTCAAATAGCCTGCATTACATAGTAAATAAACCCTTCCTTTGACTCATTTTTGAAGTAAGAGACAAATTTTTCATTTGGACTCTTATAATTTATCTAATAAACTGAAGTTTTTACTGCAAATTATACCATTCACAAAAATTGACACAAATGATGTAAATTTAGATACAGCGGACACCTCTCCAAATAATCAATAAAAAACATCCAATATACATATTTAAATAAAATATATATAAATTCTGTTTCAGTCTCGTAAATTTTCACTTAGTAGACCTAGAAATACAAAACATCTCTGCCTGAATCAGTGTAAGCCATTTTACTTGCCATAAGTGAAAATTTAATAACTCTATAGGAATCCTGGTTTTCTTTTTGAATGTAACAAGTATAAATGCCCTCTTTTGCATCTTTATTTTTCATTAAAATACAGAATCATTCTTCTCATATACACAGTATTGCCAAGTAGAAGATAAGGGCACAGATTTGGAATGATGTATCAGTGAATGTGACTTGCAGATCATACTAGAATGGCTGTCTGAACTGCTTATTATAAAAGCATAGCATGTAAGAGAATAGCATTTCTTATTTAGCCTTTTGAGGTGGCTAACATCAAGATACATAGATGATTTTGAAATAGTGGCATTTTTTTTTATTTCCAAAGCTAATGCCACCTTCCGAAGAGATTTTCCAAAGCAGAAAAATAGGGTTTGCCTCAAACTGCCCTGCTTGGATGCTGATACAACCACTCCCATTATATAAAAAAAATACCCTGCATTTTAAATGCAAAAGTGTATACAACCTCATGTCTGAATCTAAGGCTTAATTTGATGCAGATACAAATGGGAGTAAGTCCCATGGAACATAGCGGGATTTATGTCTTAAGTAAACTTGCATAGGATTATATTCCAAACGAGAATCCAATTTTTGTATGGTGGAAAAAATAATATACAAGGTTGTGAATTGAAGATGAGGAACAAGTATAACACCCCAAAACAAAAGGATAATGAAGGATATGGTTTTACATTTATGAAAAATATATAGTATGTCCTTGCAATAAATTATGACAGGCTGCAGTACATCCTACTTAATAAATGGTATAACACTTTTTTCCCACTTTGTAAAATGGAAAGAGTATTATTTCCAGAGATGTCTATCTGGATTATAGTTTCTTATTTACCAAGTCAAATACATCAAAAAAAGTTATGAACAGAACAGAGTTGGAAGGGACCTTGGAAGTCTTCTACTCCAATCCCCTACTGAGGCAGGAACCCCTATACCATTTCAGACAAATGGATGTCCAATGACATAAGGTGACTAATTAAACGGTTTTGCATTAGGACTAAACATAATTTATTGGGAATGAATTGGTGCAGAATCATTTTTACATGATCTTAATTTAAGATCGTATTAATCAAAGCTGTGCATTCTTTGACGCACGCTTTTCAGACTTTACGTCAAGGCTGTTCCTTCAGCCTTTTCCTGAAATGATTTTCTCAATGCAAGGCTTCTCATCCGGTTCCTGCTTTTCCCCTGTATTGATAGTGTGTTAGAACTGATTATCCAGCCTTTCTAGTTCTAACACACTAAGACCCAGTGGGATAGTGAAGACACCATTAAAATTTGAAGTCAGGCCTTTCTGCTTCGAGAAAACACACACTTTTAAGTAAGTTTCTGCAGCTGAATTCACAGAAACAAGTTTATTTTGCTGGGATAAGAAATCGTAGATTGGGAGTGACAGCTCATTTGAGTTTTCAGCGATCATTCTTGCCATCCCACCAAATTGTACTAAGACACTAGCCATATTTAATAGGCTTCAGAATTATAAAAAGTTCTTACTCTTACTCTCTTACTCTTTACTCTCATTAACTAAAACTAACAATTCCTATATCAGCCACTAGAGGGAGAGGTTACCATATAAACTGGTGTTACTTAGTAGTTTTAGTTCCATAGGAGAGATGTGTAACTGCAACCAGATTTTAATGAACATAAGAATTAAAACCCCAGCTATGAACACACTATAAAACCTGGCAGCATGATGTCTCTAATACATGACACAGGTCCTAAAGTGGTACGTTATACAATATAATAATAGCTCTGGGGTAAATGCCTAACACATTGGAGTTAAATCACACAACATAACAGTACTAAGACAAGAGCTACAGGAGAAGTAATTTGGGGTATCTAATCACATGGCCAATGGAGGGTTTTTTTTCAGGCACAAACAACATGAGTATTCTAAAGTCTCATGAGTGACCAACATGGCAGAACAAACGTATTTCAGATACAGAAATGTTTAATGGTATTAAAGTGCTACTATTAAGCAGAAACATATGCTAACATTTAAACACAATTCCACTACTGCTAAATGAGGTTATTTTGTTTTATTTTTTTGTCACCCAGTCCTATCTAAACAATAAAATTAAAGATCTACAGGACTGAAATTAACAACCAGTAATTATAATCAGCAATAAGTTATGAGTTTATAAAGCATTTTTTTTTACTTTTCAGTTTTTTCCCTTAGTAATTGGGGAACAGGCAAATTACTACCCCTCCCAAACAAAATTCTCAAATAAGTGTCATAGATGAAGTCTCAAAATAAAGAATAAAGTTTAAACTGGGTAAAGGAACAGTAATAAGTATCTCTGTGGTTAAAAAGCTTAAAGAAAAGCAAAGACCTCAAAGTGCAGGTTAGAAAGTTCAAAATAAAAACAATGATAAAAACATTGGATACAATCTTATTCTTTAACTGCAAAACAACAACAGTTTCTGCTCAGGAGAAATTGGAATCAACCTAGCAGATTGTTAAATTGAGATGCTTCTTAGCTATGAACCCAAGATTATATTAGGAATCCAGGTACCAAAGTCCGCAAAGGGAATCCAAAAGGTAGAGCCATAAAACCCAAGAAGGAGTCCCTGTTCCTCTTGTGCATGGCAGCAGGAAAACAAGTCCCTTTCAATTGGTGTTAATTATAAAAGGTTTGCAAGATCATGTCTAGGAGATCTAAAAATACATTGTCACGTGTAGGTTATCTCACCCAAACAACTTTTACAAAGCTTTATCAAAATAATTTGCAAAAGAAAAAAAAGGTAACTGTGGCTCAGAATGGAGACTTGTGTCTTTTTTGCACATCATCACTTGTTTTACAGGCTGGTCTGTCTCTCGCCCTCTAACAGGAGAATCATTCTAATTCAGCCACTGAATCCAGACCATGGTTGCACCTGTGGTGGCTGCTACAACTCAATAATCTAGTGGTAAAATCGTATAGCCCAAGTTTTTTGCCTTGAAACCAAGTCCAGCTGAAACATTGAGCTATAAGCAGAACATCTTGCTATTATTACATTTCTCAGATGATAATGATTAAAGATGGCTGGAGATACCCAGTTAATAAAAGATGCTGACTGGACTAACTTTTGCTGGTGAAGCTACAGGAAAACTATTTAGCTGCTTAGTTATATTGAAGAAAAAAAATAAAAAAATCATTGATGGAATTTAAAGAAATTTAAAATGGAGCTTTAAAAAAAACCCTTCAAAGCATTGGAAGTGGTTCATCCAATGAACTATATCACCTTGGCTACTTTTTCCCATTATTTGGGAAAAACATACAGCTATCCCAGATATGCTAGATTATCATAGATATTGAACATATTTTATATTATTTATTATTAGCACCACAAGGGTCTTATAACAAGTTTGTTAAGTTTGAACATAAGGAGGGGGAACCCCCCCCCCCAATGGTGACAAATTAAAAAGCAAGCACCTGAACAGCCAAGTTTCCCATCCAATCCATCTTTCAATATAGGTATCCACTGCTGATGGAAAAATCTCAGTCCAGCTATATGTAACTGGAACGGTGTCCTGAATTTGAAATTAACTGAAGTTTAGCACTAAGTCAAAAAATTTGGGTTATGGTCAGATAAAGACTAATTGGTTCCCCTGCTAGGTCCCCACTCTTCCATGGACCCATGGAGCTATTCTAAAGTTGTGTCTGTCCAAGCTTAGCTGTTGAAGGGTGGGTTGGGTAAGAAAAATACTGTATCTTGAGAGCTCTGCCAAATGAAACTCAGTTGCTCCAAAGAAACCAGTTGCTCTGCTCTAGCACCAGGCTCTAGGAAGTGAAGGAGAGCTTGACACTAGCGCTGGAGTAACCCTCATCGCTCCCAATGCTCTGCAAGCTGCTGTGATCATCAATGTCACTCGTACTGGTTGTGCTGATATCATCCACGTCTCCATGGGAGAACTCTGTGCTTTCCACATCCACTTCAATTTCTTCTGGGGGGAAAAAAAGAGCCTCAAGTTAGTATCAGAGCAAGTTTATTTAAGACCATCCCTGCCTGAAAAATCTAGATCGGGGTGTCAAACCCGCTTGCATTGCGGGCCTTATTGTGACCTATAGTGATGTTTTTTGCCTTTGTGGAGCTTGGGTGGGCGTGGCCTGGACAGGCCATCTCTGGTCACCACTTTGACAGGCCTGATCTAGGTTTATTCCAGCAATGTCCTGAGGAGTTATTGTACAGTTGTGTGGTGAAATCTTTGAAAAAAAATGAAGAACAAAAGAGAGAAAAGTGCATTGTGATATTGATAAGAATTTTGAAAGAATTACAAGAGATTGGATTGCACTCATTTTTACAAATTAGTATTAATAGCCAGTTATCATTTGATTACTAATTCAATATTTATAACTAGTCACTGTGCCTTGGATTAAAATGATAAATACTAATTCAATATTCTATACATGAATAGGCCTCTCACGCATCCACTCAAACAGATTTCTCATTCTACATTAAGGAACATTACTGCAAACCAAGATAGATTTGCTGGTCATATAATAAAACTTCTTTGAGTATTTGAAGTTTTAAAGTTCCACATTAAGGATTTGAAGAAGTAATGTAAAGTAACAGATGATTATAGAATGAAATCATGGATCATTGGGATTGTTTGTGAAACAGGAAGGATAGTGTTGCCTAAATTCTCTTAATTAACTGAGTTTTCTATCCCAGTAAAACTTTCACCTCTGTTGTTGCAGTGTCGTCTAGCTCTCTCAAAGGTATTCTGGATCTATGTAGTCCCAGAGGTATTGTAGGCCAAGAGAGAAGAATGGCTAAAGTCTCAAGTATCAGTTTATCAGCTGCTCAAAGTAATTAAAAATACTTTCTGAGCAGATTTTTTTTTTAAAAAAAATGTTTTTAAGGCAGATGGCCTTGAAAAAATCTGCAAAAATGCAGTGGCATCTGGACCCGGGTAAGCCCAAATGTATGCTGTGTAAAAAAAAAAAACCCAACCACCTCACATTCTTTTGGTTTATCAAGCATGGTGCCTCAACACTCTCAGAGGATAACAAAAACTTCAAGGGGAAACACTTCCCCTTGAAAGAGCTGAGGTGGCGCAGTGGTTAGAGTGCAGTACTGCAGGCCACTTCAGCTGACTGCTATCTGCAGCTCGGCGGTTCATATCTCACCGGCTCAGGGTTGACTCAGCCTTCCATCCTTCCGAGGTGGGTGAAATGAGGACCCAGACTGTGGGGGCAATATGCTGACTGTGTAAACCGCTTAGAGAGGGCTGAAAGCCCTATGAAGCGGTATATAAGTCGAACTGCTATTGCTACTTACTAATATGCATTTAATTCCTGAATCGGATATTCATCTAAAAAGCAGCAGCAATATGTCTTTCTGAGAAACTCGTGTAAATGAATCAATGTTAAAATCAAATATTACAAGAGGGGGATATCATCTCACTTCATTGTTAACTTCTCCTTTCCCTATTATATCAGTTTCAGTGTACTGCCTGAAAGCAATATATTATCCTAATTTCATAAAGCAAGAATCCCAATATATAATTGTTAAGCTAAAACTTCACAAAGAGAAAGGGAGAAAAACCCTTCATATATAAAAAAAGTTCTCTCCTCACCCCCAAAGTTAATCATCTCGGTGTATTCATAGTAGGGGAAAGTCTTTGCCTATAGAATGATGAGCACTTTGTTTCATGTAGGCAAGAGTCCTGTACTACCATATTTTTTCCCAGTGCAGAATTCAGTATCCATACATAAAGACTTTTCCTACAGACATTTGCCTATTTGCATGAACATCTTGAGCCATTGATTTGAATAACTTTTGATGGGTGCAATGTTTACCATAAGCACTCTTTCATTTGGATGCCTAAGTTGAGCTAAAGACAATAGTACTTATATCAGTCTCATAATTCTAGTGAAAGCTGTTTCTCGATGAAGTGCAAATAATCTTGTGATGTCTTAGCTTTTATGCCTTTCCTGTCAAAAAAAACCCACATGATGGTATCACAAGAAAATAAACTGTATCCAAATAGGTTTCTACTACATATTAATTTGAAAGCTCTGCTAAAATTCATTAGTGTTGTTTTTAACTATCAAGAAAATTGGATTTATATCTTGGCAAATTTGGAGAATTAAATAGAGGAGATGAGTACAAATGACAATTAACAAAGTAGTATTGTTCCAGGGTGTAACTACTTTGTAAGACAGTTTGTCCATTGCAGGTCTACCACATATGTTTTTAATCAGGTACAGATACAGAGTCTTCGTTCTCATGAAATACTGTACATGAGATAAAATAAGAGCCGAGGTGGCGCAGTGGTTAGGGTGCAGTACTGCAGGCCACTTTAGCTGACTGTGATCTGCAGTTCAGCGGTTCAAATCTCACCGGCTCAAGGTCGACTCAGCCTTCCATCCTTCCGAGGTGGGTGAAATGAGGACTCGGACTGTGGGGGCAAGTTGCTGACTCAATTTGCTAAAAAAATTGTAAACCGCTTAGAGAGGGCTGAAAGCCCTATGAAGCGGTATATAAGTCAAATAAATAAATAAATAAATAAATTATTTTAAGTATAGGTATATTGTAGACCTAGAAGTTGCTGATACTTGTATGAATTCAACCCAAACAGGCAAAACATATCAAATATATTTTAGACAGAGAGCAAAATTAAATGACTTTAAGGTCTGCTAAATTTAATACTGATATTAAAGACTCCTAAGCACCTATGAAAAATTTAGATGACATATGTTTCCTAACAAGTGTCCCTCAAGTCGTGCCTTCTTCATCTTGTCATCTGAATGAAAGTACGGTTATTCATAGATTGAAGCAAAGAAATTGTATGGAGCAAAGAGAAATGAACATTTTGTGTCTTTAACCACCATATGGAGGGATCAAATACTGACCTCGCTCTGAATCAGAGCGATCTGAGGACATGGTTGATCCAGTGCTGTCCATTCGTATTCGCTCGATGTCCTGAGGGCTTTGCAACTGCTCCAATCGCCGCTTTAGGAATCTTTGCTCTCTTTCCAGGTTCTCAAGCTGATGCTGGCTTCTTCTGTCGGCTTCTTCAAGTTTCTGCCATGATAAAAGATTGTTTGTCATTGTCTGGATTTCCCCAGCACTTTCCCCATTTTATTCACTAATATTCTCTTCAGATCTTATTCTGAAAGCTTTGTCAGAAGATAACTGATGATCTTTATGACTACAGAGAAAACTGGAAATATATTTTGGCAAAGTTGAAGGATCAGAGATGAAGAATATGAATGATATATCACTTCAATGGCATCCTTGCAAGTAAGGAAAAGTAGTGTCCGTATTCCCTACAAAAACAATCAATTTGTTTCTCAGTCCAATCTTAGAGCAATGAAGAAGAGAGGTTCAAGCAGAGCATGGCTAGTTCTTTTCCATCACTGCTCACTCTCCATTCAGATAATTTAATAAGAAAAGGCATAACAAGAAGCGTAAAGAAGTGTATGTACCACTTAATTTATCAGCTATTTCTTTGAAGCAGTTCCCCATTTGACCAGTTATTTATGTAATCTACTGCAGACTCCTTTCATTACAGCTGGGAAATCTTATCAGGCCAATGCACAGGGTTTCTTGATGGCCAGCAAGTTGCATAACTCCAAGTCATCTCAGGCTAATACCATCCATTTAAGTAAGCAGGGTTTCCCTCCCTGCTAAGCTTGAGCTGTTCCAAATTGTTTAAGCACATCCTGATCCCGATCCCTGTGAGCCTGGCACTACTCTGTTTTGTTTTTTTAAAGAAAAATCAGGAAAGGGTCAGAAACACTGCAGCCAGGGCACCTGTTGTGCTTTTTTAAAACTAATTTCTTTCTTTTTTTTCTTTGTTATTAGGTACAGTATTTATTTTCCAAATGCAGTACCCATATATTGTAAATGGAATGCAAAGATAATATGTAGATTTGAATAATTAACACATGCTACTAATGACTATTGGTTATTAATAGTTTCTCCCTGATGTGTTTGGCCTGCTCATGGCACATGGAACTGTGCTGATCTGAATAACTGACTGTCTGGATGAGGCTCCATGTGGTTTAGATTATATTACTTGACGTTTCACTAGTAGTAAATATAACTTAAAATCTGGAACACTCTTTAACATGGCCTTTCCTAACTTCATGCCCTCTAATTAAACTGAGGACAGCAACATTAGTAGGTTGAAGAAAGAGGGTACAGTATGGTTGCTAGTCAATTAATAATATTTTCAGCAAATCTATCAACCATTAAGGCACGATGGAACCCTTGCATAATATTATTATATTATTTCGGACACATACTTAGCATTTTGCTTTTATTATTTTAACAATGGTACTGTACACTACATCTGGACTTAACAGTTTCTGAATGATGTTATTGCTATCATATCTTTTGTATTTAAAAAATGTAAAAAATTAATCTACAATCATAAAATCATGAATAACATCAATGAAAAATGTAACACTTCAGATCCTGGTATGTATTTATCAGATGCCTGAATACAGCATCTAGGAAAGAAACAGAGAAATAAAACTCCATTTAACTTAGGAATTATCTTGATAGTTGTGCCATAAAATTTGGGCATTCAAATATAGATACGTCTATCTATTCAAAAGTTATTTCAATAAACAATATTGAACTTCAAGAAAACACTTTGTTAGATGAAGCCCAATGGCAATTTATACTATCAATGATACAATATAAGTTCCTGTTAATTTTTTAATTGTATTTTGTGGAACTGTACTATTCTGGAATTTTAAATAATGTGTTGACATTTAAAAGATGGTACTTAAGCAACTATATCCTGAACGTTAAGTCAATACTAGACTTCAGATTTCTATACCAGACTTTCTTATAGAATGAACAAATTCTGTAAATTTACCAAGAAAAATAATGCCACAAAAATGCTGGGACATGCTTTTAAAGACACTATAGCAGTGTTTCTCAACCTGTGGATCGGGACCCCTTTGGGGGTCGAATGACCCTTTCACCGGGGTCGCCTAAGACCATCGGAAAACACATATTTTCGATGGTATTAGGAACCGAGACACCAATTTTATTGTTGGGGGTCACCACAACATGAGAAACTGCACTATAGCAACATCATGTATGAACCCTCTGAGGAAGATAATAACCTTATCTGAAACATTATTATAAATGGAAACGGATACCCGTCTTACCTTAATGTGCGCTTTGGCTTTGTTAAGCAGCCCAAGGGTTGTGTGTCTGGTGCAGTCAGGTCCTAATGGTATCAGAACTTTTAAGCGCTCTAGACACAGGCGGAGGTGGGCTCGTCTGGGAAGAAAAGATGCAGAGATACATTTTGAACTGAAACTTGCCTTCTTCAAATAGCTTCCTAAATAATATCATATTGACTTCTACTGTAAAAGGTGGAAACAGTTTGAGGCTGGTGTTCTAACAAGCATAGCTGGTGAGCCAGTTAATAACTCTGACAGGTATTTGAAAATAAATTGTAGCATATTGAATTATTTCACCATTGATATTCCACATCATTCATCTTAACTGGTAATTTCTGATAGTTCCATGTTACTCCAGTAGACGCTACAATGCTCAAAGAAAAATAATTCTGCCTATCATGCATTCTTTTCTTTTTTATTTTGCACTGCAAATTAAAATGGTTGACAATCTTGGTTCTCACTCACATACTGTGTTTGAACTCCTCATGATTACTTTAACAAAAAAAGGGAAGGCTGCAACAACTTGTCACTCCACATTTTTAATACAAGCTATTTTTCCTAAAGTGACACTCCCAGAATAATTTGGACTAGAGTTCTCACTTCCACCAGCCATCTTGGCCAACGGATCTGGGGATTAACAAATTTGAGCAAAGCTGCTGCATCTTTTTATGCTTTCTTCATTACTAACCATACAGAGAGAACTGTGATGTAATTAAAACATTTCAGCAAGATAAGTATAAGTATAATCTTTATTGTCATTATACTTAAATACAACGAAATTGGTTGATGAGTGCAAAACAATTGTTAAATTATTTGGCTTCTGTCTTATTTATTTAGGCTATTCCATACATAGAACTATGCAACTACCCAATCTACCACTCTCAACGAAAACATTAATAAGATTGCTAGCAATCCCCCCCCCCGCGCATATTTCCAAAATCCCAGCTGCCCAACTGATTCATGCTCAGCTGCATCCTTGTGCCCCCATATTTGGAACTGATAATTAGGATATGATGTGTCTTTGAATTGACAGCTACAGTTTTTACATGTTAACTATAGTTAGAGGACAGAATGATCTGTCATTTAATTGCTTCATGTAATTTGGTGTGAGAGGCAAAAGTACAAAAACTAGAATCTTGTCTTTCAGCACATAAACATAGAAGATAGGGAATTCTTTTGCATGTTACAGAGAACCATGCATAAAATACAGTGTTCTACATTGACTAAGAAAATAATATACTTAATTAGAAACATCCATACACATAAAACAATAGATTTACCCCATATATACCTGCCAGCTTCCTACAATTATGGTATAATTATGGTACAATTTCTATCCTGAATTGAAGGAACATCCTCTTTCATTGTAAATGTGATTATTTGTGCTAGTTAAGCAGGAGATGGCCATTATATAAAACTGTTGGAGAATTTCTATTATTTCCAACTTTAATTTTTGATTATAGTGATAAAGAAATCTAAACATGCAAGAATTTTAAAAAAGTGAGTAAAGGCCAGCTCTATTTTCCCTACATCCTCTCACTAACTTGTAACATCCAGTTATTGTTTTAGAGAACCAGTACAAGATGTTTCCTATTAGAAATAACAAGGAGTCTGGATATTGTATATTAATATTATCATGCAGTGAGTAAAAGACATACATTAGCTGCAGACTGGCTTTTCAATATGCATATAAATTATGTTAATTATGTATGCAATATGCCCATCTCTCAGCATTAATTTCCACTAGTGCTTTCTTTGCTTTGATCATCAGCTGACACATTGAATCAGGTCCTGATGATAACTGAGCAGAAATGAACACTTCCCCATATCCATATCAGAAAATCCAAAACATATTTTCAGATTAGAAGTCTAATGCATTCTTCATATGGAAAATAAAGTGAGTTTGAACTCTTAATATAGGAAGGAAAATACAACTTTACACATATAATTTAGCGTGTCTCAGCCTAACCTACCTCACAGGGTTACTATCATAAAAAAATGAGGATGAAGCAATGGGTTGCTTTAAGCTGCTTTGAGCCCCTAAAGAAAGGCAGCATATACATTTAATAAAAGAGTAAATAAACTGACATTTGGTAGAATGTCTCTCCCATGACTAGAATATAGCAGATGAAAAATACCATTTGCTTTAAAGGAGAATAAGCAACAAAAATGGAAGAGTTTTATAAAGTATTTAAAAATATACACAGCTGTTCAGAAATCTAAGAATGAATTTTGTAATATTGTTTGAATCATTTTTATTAAGCAATATTGTAATAGGTCCTATTACTGATCACCCAACTAATAGAAATTGCAAGAGATATTTCTCAAATGCAAACTGCAGATTTTTCAAACCAGCATGAAAACATAAAGATGGAATACATCAATAATTCGAACTGTGGGCTCTATTTTCAGTTCAGGACATTCCTGACATATCCTGCTCACAAATTTCTTATTTAGGGAAAGGCAATATTCACATTCAAAAGGTGAAGAAAGGTACAAAAGAATTAGCTATTCTGGACTGGGCTTAAATAAAAGTGAAGACTTAATCAGCAAAGAGGATGGATCACAAACCTTAGGGAAAGTGACTACATAATTCAGGAGTTCTTTACACACACACACACAAACACACACACACACACACACATAGACATCAGCAAAGTGCAGGCAAATACATATTTTGAACTTCATAAAAATGGGTTTTAATATGTAAAATCAGATGTTTAATATTAAATAATTTCCTATAGCAGAAAAAACAAATAAGAAAATGAACCAAAGATGGGAAGTGAGCTGTTTCCCAAAATAAGAGGCACAAAAAAAAAATAATGTTATTCCAGCAAGAGAGAAAACAACTGGCAAAAATCTAGTGATATTGCACAAACCTTTGTGATGTTCTGCCAACAACATAAAATGGCTCTCTTACCATTTAACAAGACACCAGTGAGGAACACAAACTCTTAGCTTGGAATTGCAAATATGGTAACAGAAAGACTAAATCTTAAAATCATCTAAGTTGGAGAAAGGATGTTAAGAATAACAAAGGTTTTTTTTCAGGTATTCTTTTTTTAATGAATAGAAAAAGTGTACCACTTGCACAATAAAGACAGCAAAATACTAAGACACAAATAAAGAGCATTCAATTCCCATTTTCATTCCTAGTGAGATTTGTGTTCTACCATAAAGTTGAATATAGCAAAGTGAAGAGATTGCTTTGAATTTCGGTGAAATGATCAGGGGAATACCTGTTTGAATCCCTTAGAGTTCAAATCCCTAAAATCATATTGTTCAAAAACAAATGTTATCAAACTAAGATCTTCTAGTTTTCTGATTCAGTAATTTTTTTCTATAAACTACAGGAACAGGAATGTTATGGTTATACTATATTTTCATTTCAACCAAATGTTTGGCAAAATACTTGATGACATTCCAGAATGGCCTGGATGGCTCATACATCATAACTAAAATGCTCAGATAATCTGTCAAAATGAAGAAAGCAAAAGTGACACTCCCAAGATCCAATCTTGAGCTATCAACATTTCAATATGTGAATGGCTTGGATGACAAGATAGATGGAATGTGCGTTCAAATTTAAAGATGAAACAAACAATAGAAGGTAGAAAAATCATTCAAAATGATCTGGATAATTAAGAAATAGGCTGAAAATAAAATAATGAAATTTAGTTGGAACAAATGAGAAGTCCTTAGGAAAAAGTAACTAAATGTACAGGTGGACCATATAAAAATGAGGGTAGCAACCAGGCATTCTGATGTGGTCTTAGGAGCCTATTGGCAACAAATGCATTGACTTTGAAATCTATTTTATCCAACAAAATTGGGTTTGGTTTCCAAGCAGTCTAGCTGCTTGCATTCTGCACCAATTCATCTTCTGAGGCAGCTTCATATGAAGTGTGTTAGAGATAATAAAGGTCATAACTCTTTCCAGAAACATATCTTTATAACTATCATACAACCAAGTTAGTAACCAATGATATCTCAACTATGTTCACATGCAAGTTAGAACTGAAAACATGCCAAAATGAGAGGAAAACAAATTCACTCCCCTTCCAATTTATGTTAATTGATGCACGTTTGTCCTGGATCTCTGCAGAGGAAGAAATTTTAGTTATTATGCCCCTTTTATAAAACAAGCATTCCTTTAATGTTCACATTGCAAATAGGGAAGCCTAGGTTCAGTCAGTCTAAAAGGTTATCTGATTAAGAAGCCTGCAAAACAATGTGACTTTAGCCTTCTATGCAAATCAAATTACTGCATCAAGACACACAAACAAGAACGGGTCACACAGTCTCCTCATAAAATGTTCTCTTAAACCAGTTACACAATCACTCTCCATCTGACATTTGTCATAGCTCACAAAAGCAAATAATGTAAAACCTTAGGTTAAAATAATGCCCTTCCCCAGTACTGCAATACTGAGATTCCATAATGAACTGGAGAACATATAAACTGAAATTCATTTTGATTTCAATGAGGTGATTTGCTTTTTAACTGACAATTAATGGAAGTATTTAATACACTTTTAACCAGCTGCATGGTACTTCAGAGCAAGGGTAAAAGCTTAATTTTTCTCTTGAAAAATTTACTATACAAATTTTTATTTCAACCCTGAGGAGGAAAAAACAGGGGAAAGTAGCTCTTTCTCCCCTCCACCCCTTCCCAAGTGTGGACTGTTATCCTTGGGATTCTTCTGGTATCAGCTAATCCAGATGTTCCATGCTGATCTAGGTAAAGTTCAAAACTATTCCTTCCTTCAGCTTTCCTCCTTCTGTCTTCTGAAGAAATCTCCCCAGAATTCATTCACAAACTACTGCTGAAACTGAATCCTCCAAATCAATAACACAAAATGATGTCAGCCTCTGTTTATGTTCCTAAAAGCCTTCATTGGTCTTGTCCACAGACAAAGGAGAGGAATATGAGAGCTCCATCTACCCAAATGAAGGCTGAAAAATTAATCTGGCTCTTTCACTTACATGTGGCATTTAACAACTGCTATTGTTAATAAACTGAAGAGTTGGGAGGGGGGGGGATAAGAATTGCAATTATACCACTGACAAGCAAGGATGATTAAGAGTTTTAGGGTC